ATTGGAAGCTATGACAATCTATCACAGTATTTGGAGTGTTTTACATCATTACCACCGCTTATATCCTCGTAAGGTTCAGATTGCAAAGATAGAAAGTTTTGTACTTAGTACATAGATTTTTAGATAGAGTCCGTTTACCAATGTCAAAAATTCCAGTAGACCATTTTTATCTGAAGCTGTAAAAATGAGCTTTATCGGGTTCCCCGTACATTCAAAAGTTGACGTTTGGCTTCCTCGAATTCCATTAGAACTTTCATGATGCGCCAGTAGAGATCCGATCTCATCCTGCAAACCAGGATTTCTCATATTATTGATACTAACTGCGAAACAGGGAATACTCACCCCATTCTTCCAAACATAGCTCCATATTTCATCTGATTCAACGTCTCACGTGTCATGTAGTCTCGCCGTTGCACAATATTCGTTATGGATATGTGCAATGTGCCAGAGGATTGTGTGGTCAACCCCGCGCGTGAGATAACACCTTCCTAAATTTAAAACTTTTGTTCAATGATGAATAAAGAAGACATGGCTAAAAAAAGAAGAAATATCATTTAGTAAATCAGTACGGAATGAGTCGTAAACGTAATATTCATAGGTTTTTTTAGCGGAATTCTTGATTTGCATGTAAATCCTCGTATTTTCTACAGAAGTAAAAGAAATGGATGAAGTCTCAATTTTTCCTGCGCTGTTTCCAACATGATACGCTCAAAATACAAATTTGACCAAGTGAAAGTAGAATGAATGAAGACACAGTGGAAGTGCTAAGGATCAAAGAATTATTATTAGGTCACTAGAGTAACATGGAATGAAAACAAAGTTACTGAGTTACATAGAAATTCTCACGCATGCATGTTCAACGGTATTCTTGCAGTACTGGAATTTACATAGAAAACAGTTTGAAGAAAATTTTCGTGAGCAGTTTGCGTCTTTGGTTTTCGACACGATAAAGAATCAATTTTGCAGGATCTCAAGTTCTACAAATAGGTTGTATTTGAAGCTAACCTCTTTCCAATTA